CAGCAGTATGGTGGCTCTGCAGCTCACAACACTGTATGTTGTTTACTATCTAGATTGAAGTTCTTTTTTTATTTTATGTTTTATTCATAGTTTAGAGTATGCATAGTATCAATTGCTGGATGTCGTAGATCTGCCCCTAAAACTTTAACTTGAAGTTTGAAAAAAAGGAAATAAAACTCCAAAACTCTAATCAGATGTCCATTGGGCATGGGCCCACAAGTGAGGGATCCCTCAACTGAAGCTTTCTGTATATATATTGGAAACCATTTTGTGTTATAATTGTGTTGCATAAATAGACAAATACAATGCTTCCTAAAAACATTGAAATGATCATGATGATACTAAGATGGTTAAATAATCCCGACTGGGCTGTCAGTATGGGAGGATCATCCTTGATTGGGGAACGTGAAAAATAGATGGTTCATATCACGTGACCACATTGCAGAGATGGTGCCAGTAATGTGGTCTTCAAGTTCTCGACTTAAGGTTTTTCTTGAGAAGAAATAAACTTTTTTTAAACACAAAAACACATAACATGTATAGTGGACAAGGAGTCCACTCTTAAAACGCAATCTACAACAAACACATAAACTTAGGTCATTTTTGCGAAGAAAGAAACTTCTATTAAACACAAAAACAAAGAATACATACAGTGGAGAAGGAGTCCACTCCTAAAATACAATCTACAACAAAAAGAACAATACAACCATTAATCAGATCGCCCTCTTTGTAACAAAACTAAGTAACCAATCTTGAGCTCTTAGATGTAATGATTCGAGTTTGGTCACTTTCAGCTGCAAACGATTCAATGAGGTATTTTTTTATTGATTCACGGTATGTGTATGTGTGTGTATATATATATTTATATATATATATATATATATTTGTGTGTGTGTGTAGGAAGTTTGTTAGCACATGTGTACAGAGAGATTGTAGAACTTCCACGTTTAGCTTTGTTTCTGCTTCCTGAAACCATTCGTCTGTCATGAATGCCAGGTATTTACTGAGAGGCAGGGAAAGTGGAAGGCCACTACCCAATCAAGGGAGTTTCTGAAGTCTATCAAGCGATACTACAGCAATGCTTACACTGATGGTGAAAAGCAAGACGCCATAAATTTGTACTTGTTCCTCTCTTGTAGTTTCTCGTGAATATAAATTTTTATTTTTAAATAGCATCTTCTCTTCCCTGACAGAGAAGATAAGACTTATTATTACCTATTACGATCTCCATCATTTCTTGTAAAATAAAAATATAAAATTCCATCTCCATCAATAGCATCTCACTTCTGCATTGAGAAATAGATGCATCTTTGGATATATGGGAACTCTGTGTTGCTGATGGCAGTTGTATTGTATTATATTATATAGATTAAAACAATGTTATACTATAGTTTGTCATTATGTTGTACTATATTAAATTTCATTGTATTGTACAATGCCATATGGCACATTGTTGTACTGTATTTTGCCTTTCTTAAAATATCTTCTAAAGCTTTGATCTTGCTGTGGGTTTTAACAGATTTTTGGGTTACTTCAAACCACAGGAAGGGAAACCTGCTCTGTGGGAGCTGGATTCTGATTACTATCTTCATGTATCTGGGATTGATGACCTTTTCCTTGATGCGTGGTAAAATCTGTATGCCTCTTTATATGATCTAGACTTAATACTTTGGACAGGTCTATCCAAAACGCATACACATGTACGCATGCATAGATGTGCCTTGTACATTTCCTGTTCCAATCCTTTTTTCTACTTCTTTTGTAAAGTTAATGTTTCAATTTAATCATCCATTGTTTACAATAAGATACTTGATTTTCAACTTTGCAGTTCACAAGAAAATGATACGCACTTGGGAGGATTGGGAAACACTCTTGCCCCTATCCCTGCTTGCAAAGAAGATTTTTTGAGGATGAAGTTGACATCCTTTGATAAATTGATTGAAAGGACGTGTAGTTCAATAAAGAATGTAAGACTTTGCAGTGAACCAGATCAAAGAACAGGTGGTGGTACTGCAAATTCTAGTGTGGCGCCTGATGCAGCGTAATTATATCTCAACTTATGCAGTTCTTACCCCACTATTTAGCATCCTATTTGTGATTTTTAATATTAATCTCTCTACCTCTCTCTTTGGTTATCCTGTCCACTTGGGAACCAAGGAAAATTCTATTAATAGTCACTGAACATTGGAATTATAATTTTCAGTGAAATACAGTTGAAAAGCCCAAATTGGCTTTTTGGCCAGAGAAAATACGAAGAAAGTGGGTCTGCACCAAAAGTTACTTCACATGAAATAAGTAATGGAGGATCCCGTAATGAGACAGGGTTTGGTGGCTTTTGTGACTTAAATTGGCTTTCTTCTGATGGCAATGATAATGAGGAGGATATCTTCCAGAGGTATGCTATATGAAAATGCTTTTGGGTTGACATAGGAGAACTCCTTCGATTTGTCTGGTTCATTAGCTTATACATGGTTGTTACCACAGTGACCTCCAATGTAAGTGGGATTCTAAGAAGAAATACTAGAAGTATATATCATATTTATGATAAAACAAACCATAACATAAGAAAGTAAGATAATTGAGTAGACTAATCTGGGTAATTAAGTTGATTTGGAATTCTATGTTACTACCTTGTTGGCATCAACTGTGTTCAACGAAAGAACTTAATTTTGTTTTTTAAAAAGCCTATGATGTATCCTATGGAGCGTATGATTGATAATTTCTTTCTCTGCTGCTATTCCAAGGTACCTTTCAATGACATCAGTGGATGAAGCGAATGGGTGGTACGGTGGGACACTGCTAGGTGATCAAGATGAAAGCAGTGAGATATATAAGCACTATGCTGAGTTATGTCAGGTAGAGTACTTCTAATTTTCCAAACATGGACAAGTCTGGTATTATTTCCTTTAAACATTAGAGTTTGACATAAATTTCTGCAAAATAATGAAAGCATTTTCTACTCTTGTTCTCTGACAAAAAAAAGGGTTTCTCTCAGATTGTTCAGCTGCAAAATATGCGTACATTTCCAATTTCTCCATGCTTCTGCTTTTGTATATATCTTTAAATATCTCCTATTATCAGTGCATGCATACCAAAATAGAAGAAACATAATTATAATGTCTTTTTCTCTAGAACATCATTTTAAAATCTGGTTTTCACCCAAACACCACCTTTATCTTCTTCGTTCAAATGCAGTATAGAAGTTTTAGTTTCTTGGATGGTATATTTTGTTGGTAGTTTGATGCTCTTGTTCTATTGAGCTTTGATTTACTTATTTGTCCTTTATGACATCTAATTATCACGATTACACAAAACAAAAGACCTGTTTCTTGCCTTTAAATTAAATTGATGTTTAACCAATTATTATAGAGCATTCTTGGCGTTCGCAACAAAGTTTATGACAAAATAATCCTATGCAAGTAAATAAAATGATCAATGTTACTGGTTTGTTGGAAATCCAGTTGATAGACCTGGAGGACATGTTCTTTTTCTCCGACTTCTTATACGTCTCCATTTCCTTGATATTCTTTGTGAAATGTTTGAAATGCAGGGCCCTGGCATTGAGCCTTTCAAAAATGATCGTGAGATGGAGAAGCACTATGCCGATGCTCTTCATATGGGGACAATCAATATTGTAGATGATGCTGCTGTTGAGGTAGAGATGGAAGCCGCTCTCAAGGAATACGATCAAATTGGCAGTGATCTTGGGAGCATCCCTACATCATGTAAATCCTTAGCTGAAGATCCGAGCTGGTTGACAAGGTGGATCATTGGGGAAGAGAAGGTGCAAAGGGTTTGAAGAAATACTCTGTTCAGCTTATATTTATGAAATCTGCTCTCAGATATATTATGCTTTTCATTGTTTTTCGACTATTAACTGTAAAGATAAATGAAATTAAGAGGCAAACACTGAGTGAATCATGCTTGTATATATGACTAGGATCAAACAAAGTAGCTGTACGATAATGCATGTAAATACAATTTATTCAAATATAGTTCAACCTCCCTTTTGCAATTTTGTGTTTGCTGGATAACACTTCGTTTTCCTAGAGACAGCAAAGTCGTTTTCTTGTATTGATGTTCCGTCCCGAAGGTTTTGCAAGAAAAATAAAATGCTCTGCCGTATAACGTATTTTTGCAGTATTGCATATGGTGCCTAATTGCCGCGTAATGTATTTTCATCACATTGCTCACCTGCAACAAATGATTCAATAATTTTTTTATTTTTTATTTTTTACTTCAAGTGATAATCTAAACTACAATGGTGCCATGGGAAGAGGTTTCTCACACAGTCGAAGTGTCATGAGATCACTAGTATGCAAATTAAGGGGTTTTTTTTCCCGCTAGACTAGACCCCATTTACAAATCAAGACTCTTTTTCACTAGGCTAGACCCCTTTGACACAAACGATTCAATTCCAATTCTAACAATCAATTGGTAACTTTATCATACAAGTAATTAGACGTTAAACGTTCTAGACCAAATATAGGCAAGGATTCAAGGTTCTAAAGCCGTACCATGGAAGACTATCTTCCTTATGGCCTTACTATTTGCAAAAAGAGTTCACAATGATGCTATCTCTCCGGAGTTTAAATAGATTTCAACTTAGAGAAAATCCACGGGATTTCCTCGAGCATTTTGCAGTCTTACAAATTTATGAAAGCAAGTTTTTCAAGATGTACAATGGACTGGTGAACCTAGCCAAACTCCTACATCCCGGAGCATCAATTTCTCAAGATTTAGGATTTTTGAAAAGTTCGGCCATCATGTTAGGCAATGTGAATCAGATTGGGAACCTTCAACTTTTAAAGCACCTGTTGTACAAAACCTAAAGAATATGGAAATTAAAATAAAAAAAGAAGAGAAACGGAGCATGAGGTTATGTATAACAACAGAAGGAAAGGGTGAAAATTTTGGTTGAGGTTATATTGTATGTACCCCGGAACCCTTCCAAATAGCTTCTCTATAATACATGTTAATGGAAACTAGTGGTGGTAGATTTATTCTATTGCGATCAGATCATCTAGATCACCACTGCTTTCTTGCAGAAAGTCATCAACTTTAGATGCCTCCGGAATGTCAGATGGAAGCACACCAGAACTGGGTGCCCAAGCATGTCCACCAGTCGTCGTCGTGTTTATGAACATCCTATCGGGCTGCTCATCCAATTTAAGACTAATGACCTTGTTACGCAATTATTTACCTGTAGTTTAAAGAGGCATTACTGTTATAAGGAGTTTCATGATAATTTACAAAATATAACAAAGAAAACTAAAAGAAGTTTACACACCTGAATTTTATTGCACTAGCATTCATCAGAAGCGTCAATTGTACAAAGTTTGGGATTTCACCCCCAAAGCCAGTTTCCTTCCCAATTAGTTCTTTCCACAATTTCCTTTGCTCTTTGGGAGCATCCCATTTGTTTTTCCATTCTGTTTTATCATACTATTTTCCTGTCTCTTTAGTGGATTTAACCTTTCATTTTTTCCATCCCACTTTCTTCAAACAGTGCCGTGACGATTTCCTGCCTCCACCTCCTTGATACACAGGTTACAGAATATAGCTACACTACGATTATTCCATGAGCCGCAACTTTTGATCCATTTGCCACATTGTTATTCCTTCCCATTCGGTATATGCTTCTAGATAAATATGACTAAACACTGAATTCTCTAGAAAGCTTAACCTAAGCATGAAACAGAAACAAAATGTAATATTTGCATGCAAATCAATCAACCCACGTATATGCTTACTTTGCGATGTATAATGAATGTATCAATGTTTTGCAATTTTTTTTTAAAAAACAGGCGGTACAGGAAGCCTGGCACATCTAGGAATGACTATTAGCATAACATTGTAAAGATTTTGAGAATGTAAAATTTAAGTCTTGAGAGAGAACAACACATAATTCAAACCACTGTTGAGTTATGAATATCAGTATAACAGACTTTTCTGATAGTAACCCTGTACAGCCGTATATCATTTTGAAAACTATAAGAAGAATAACTAGTTGTGCAGAATCAACCACAAAATAATTGCATAAATATGGTAATGCAAATAACTCACTTAATCAATGAAGTGCAGAAAAATTATGATTGAAATTAGGTCCACAAATACATGTGGATGTGCAAGGCACCATCTACGTTCACACCATAAAACCTTTGCCAGAACTAGGCTAAAATTCAATTCCAAAAATTTAAGTCAAACTTGACAACTAGAATATGTTAATCCCACAGGACAATAAAATGATAACCCAAGTAGACTAGAGCAAAGGAGGTGTCATATTAACAAAACCCAAGAGAAATACAGGAAAAGCCACAAAGGTTACAACACTTCACAGACACAAAAGTATGGTTTTTTGTTAAGCGCATGAAGTTAGTGAACCCGATGTAAACGACAATTAGGATATAAGCACAAACTCAGATGGCATACACAATTGAAACTTAAATAATTTAATTGAGAGGAAGATGTCATTTATCAAATCATGAAGTAGCCTCCCCTGAATCTCATAGTAAAGACAAAACCCTGATTGGAGAAAAATTGAGAGCTACCATGCCTTCAAAATAAAAACTGTAATGAGATTAATAAACTTACTGATGACTTGATGAGTGGGTAGTCGCCGTTAGCAATAATTTGTCTCTGATGAGCTTAAAGATCTGCAGCAACTATGTGAAGATGAAGAAGAAGAGTCGTCTGCTAACTAGTGAAAGCTACACCATACCCACAAACAAAGACGACTACTCTAATGTGAGAGAAAGGGGATTTCATTTACCAAACACTGGTATTATCAACACTTTTAAAGCAAGTAGATTATTTCTTCTGAAAACAATCCCAAATGCCCCCTAATAACATTCACCAATGCCGAATATCAAACACAATGTTCACAATATCGAACACAGCACAGCACAACTCACTCTTTGACTTTGTGAAAATTTGATAAACATCCAATATAGAAATACGAACCATAAACATAACTTGCAAATTAAACTTATAGACAATGTAAATATTTAATATACATGTGAGGTGGTAACAAGACGCATTCAGGTATAAATTCTAGCATACAAGCATTCACATCATATGACCCCAATCACAATACTTCAAAAAGTAACGTGAGGTCAGAGTGATGAAAGGCATCTGGATTCACTTCCCTCTCAGACTATTTTGTAAATTTCGATCAACATTCAGGAAGAGATTGGGCCGAAGCAAAAGGAGAAAATGTTGCAGCTGACTCACTACAATGTAGTGGATGATGTTGATGACTGGACGAGCTGATGAAGCTTGGTGACGCATTGCTAGGGCTTGGAATGTGTGCAACAGACAGGTATCTTGAGTTCAGGGGTGACAAAGATGGGTAACCAAAGGAATTGGGGGAAACAAAATAGGAAGCATGAGATCTTTGGGACGAGGCATTACGGAGGTCCACTGAGCTTCTGCTGACACTAATAGAAGGGGACTGGCGGTAGGAGGACCTAAGAGACTGCTGAATGTGAGTTGAGCTAGCATGAGAGTGAGAAAGAGAATATGGAGACTGCGACAAAGCTGGAACTATCTGCATGGCTGAAGAAGATGCTAGAGATGATCTCATAGATGAAAGTACAGAAGAGGCCACAGATGATGATGGGCTGGATGAAAGCAATGGTGTGGATTCTGAAGCTGGTGGATCACTTGTGTTAGCTCTTGCATCACGCTTGCAAACTGGGCAAAAGGTTCTCCATGAAGTAAGCCAAGAATCCACACAGAAAGCATGAAATTCTGTCAAAATCCAAGGAAAATTACTGTCAGATTATTATTAATGAAAATCTACAGCTGAAAAGAGTTGTTCAATATTCTACAGATTGTATACAAGTACCTTCGACATTGAACGACTTGCATTAATCTAGATTTATATCATAGCAGGTAATCAGAGTGGGAGATTTTTAAAATGTTTTTCCTAACAGATACTTCACATTTATCACTATTCAATGTTCACCACTAACAACGTTCACTTTACTGGAAAGGTAGCTGAACTTTCAGCATAAGCAGAAATTTAAATTGCCATTTCAAAAAGTATTATCAAGAGTTTGTACTTTGTAGTAAACTTGTAAACAGAAATTTTCAATCTACTAAACTTCAAATAAGTCATATAATTAGACACCAGATAAATCAATAGTTTATCACAATTTTCCTAATCAATCTACTTCTGGATAGACTCATGCAAACAAAGACATTGACTGACAAAATCAAGACACAGGCGACAGGGCCTCAATATCTTTTCTAGAATCAACTACAGAATGCAGTAAATGAACTCGGGGGTTGGTGGTAGCCTGTATGCAGCAATTGCAACTATGAAAATGATACACAAATGGAAGCCAAATTTGAAAGAGAAAATAATACACTAATGATATAAAATTTAGGAAGGCTTCCTCCTTTTTAACACTTCTTTAGTGTTGAAACCGTGTCAATAATCCTAATCTTCAAGTGTCAACTTTCTCTAACCATGTTACAAATGCAAAACTATAATGCTTTCTTGGAATCTACAAAGTATGTCCAATAAATTCTGAGCATGCCTAATTAAACATGAATATGCAATACATAAGTTTCACCAACACCCTGTTGAGGTCTGGATTTGATCCTAAACTTTTCAATGTTTTTACTAACAATAACTCCCATACTAAGATTAAACTACCTCCCAGTATCATACAGGACCCAATTTGGACATTTCAGCATACAACTTCATTCAAATAACAAATTAATATTGCCACAATATGTTAACATTAGTTCCTGTGCCACTGTATAGACCCCTAGTATACCCTTTATAGTCTCTCCAGGTTTAGGAATCCACTATCCAGTGCTTCAAACAACAATAGATATTTGCCCAAAATTTGTATAAGAATTTCCAGCCTTGTAAGACGCCAAAATTAGGGTTAGTAGAATGCAGAAAATAAGCTCTTCTTTCCTCAGCTAGATAAAGTTCTGAGATCCTACATGTTTTCTTCAAATAGATAAGTGACTTTGAAATCCCATTAAGACCAAGCCCATCAAGAAAGACCAGCTGTACCATACAATTGGAGTAGGTCACATATTAACAATTTCGCAACCTTCTGAATAATGATAATTGGGAAACAACGAGCAACCAAATGTGTCCAACTGATAAACATTAGCTATATCATACATGTGCTCAAAATGCTAATGCTAGAAACACCAGGCCACCAAATCAAACAAAAAATGCACTATAAAGAACAATATTTTGATATGGTATAAGAACCAAAAAAGAAACTTACTATGACGACATGGCAGAATTCTGAGTTTCTCTCCAACACTATAGTCCTCAAGACATATAGCACATGTTCTTGAAGTACAGTTGTCCTCTAAAACAGCGGTAAATATCAAACTTGGCATTGCTTTTACTAAACGACTGCTCATCCCATGAAATTCTCGGACACGAGAAGCTTGGGGCCTTTCTCGTCTTATTCGATGCCTGCGAACAAAGAAACAAGTAGCCAACACTGCAGACATGGCAAGCAAGGAAATGAAAGAGATCGCCATGATTGACCACGCTGAGTTCTCAAAACTTGCGATTAGCCACAGCTCCATGTTAGTAAGTCCGGCGTACTTTTTCAGTATCTCACCAGAAGCTTTTGAAACGAACACAGCATGTATTTTTATACCAGCTGAATTTCCTGCCACTATATTTCCACAAAAATGGGAATTAGAGATTATAGAAAGGGAAAAAGAAAATTACACTTAAACTAAAGAATTTAAAAGTTATACCACTTGGGAGGACAAAAAAGGTTATATAGAAATAGACAAGAAAGTGCACACACATAAACATGTGATCACAAATCTCAGAACAAGAAGATGGGGCGTCAGTGTATCTTCTACTGCATATTTGTATTCTTAAATTACTCATGGAAGGTTCAACAGCACTACAAAGAGTAGCAGATTGGGTGCTGAGCTGCAAAATACCATGCTAGCAGGTCAAGAATAGTATTGCCCTTAACTCCAGTTCACCACCCTTCATCATTAAGGCTAAAAGTACAGTTCTGTTCTAGATCGACGGAAATTTCTTTCAGGGATACATAATGCCAGCATTTATAATTTTCCTGGAATGACTTGAAAATTACAACAAAAAAAGAGTCTACAAGGTAACACTTTGTTAAGAAGGAACTGTAGTAGTGCCCATTGTTTTCAACAGCAAGGCATTTCATATCTTTCAAGGCGAGGTGTGAGCCTTGAGGCATTGAGACGTGAGCCATTCGGGCATTGAATTATTGTAATGTAAAAATATAATATATTTAACAGGGCATTGAATTATTGTAACAAAGTGTTAATCTATTATTCGAGCATAAATGAGAGAGACACAGAGAGAGAGAGAGAGAGAGAGAGAGATAGACAGAGAGACAGAGACAGAGACAGAGAGAGGGGCACGAACTGGAACTGGTAGGCTAGGATTGTAGGAAATCTGCGTCTGCTGGGAAGAGAAATAAGGATAGAAAAAACCAAATTTGGGGTTGGAGGGGAGGAAGAGCTTGGAGGGCCATCGAGTGATAAATGAAACAAAATGTTATGAACGAAAATAACAAGCAGAGCAGCTTTTAAACGACAGTGAATCCCACCAAATGATCCTTTGATGAAGTTTCCCACACGGAATCCTCCTTCGTCTTGGGAGCAACACAGTAAATCCCACCAAATGATCCTTTTTGACTTCCCAAATGGCTCTTCAACTTGGAATTCTAAAATTAAAAAAAGTATATGGTGCAGATGAACTAAACTAATCAGAGGTGTGTGTTCTAGGCTGATACTTCATCGCTAAATTTAGCATTAGCAGAGATGTTCATCCCACAAACATGCTCACAAACCAACAGAATCTATATTTATTTTTCTTCTTTCCCACAATAAGAAGTATGTGAGCCTAGACAGACTAGTGTATTTTTACATCTTTACTAGCACCTGAATTTAATTGATCCGGAATTGTTGAACAAATATTAAACTTTCCAAATTAAAACACCATGCATGAAAATTGTAATAGAAAACGGTCATTACTTGAAACCAAGACGCCGCCATCTTCATTGTCATAGACAATTGCAGCTTTGAACCCGGCCTTCTGAGCTCTTCTAACTTTTTCCTCAAAACTACACCCTCCTCTTATGAGCAAAACGAAAGGGGAGCTATAATTCGTGCCTTTTTCAACTTTGTTAGTCAATGTCGAGCATGCATCCACAGGTTCTGCCAAATACAATACTCCACATTCCCCAGAACCCTTAATCGCTGGAGCTGAAACAAACATCATTGTCCACCACAAAAATCAAGAAACTCATTATTAGTTTGCCTCCAGCTACTTCTGTTCCTCTTAAAACACATGAAAAAGTTAACAAGACGCACGATTTCAATACCCCAAACACCAATTCCCCTTCCTTCCCCACAAATTCTCAGCAAACAAACAGAAATTAAAACCAGAAAAGAAAACCCAAAATTAAAAATTAAAAAGAAAATCAAGAACTCACCAAAATTAGCTTCAATGTCGTCGAAAGAGAGAGTGACATTGTTCCCGATCAGCACCACGTTGGCCTTCGTCATAGAAAATTGCCCAAACAGAAACACCGCCAAAACCACGACCAGATTCATTGTGATCATCAATCTCGAAACAAAAACCCTAGCAATCCTGATAATTGAACTCCTCAAGTAGTTATACAGAAAAGGACAGAGAAGCAAAATGATAATATGTATTAGTGTAGTTGCGACGGATAGAAACATCGGTCTCCATTTTCAGAGCACATAAATCTTCTTATACTCTGATTCCTTTGTCATGCCCGATTTCTACTACTTATAAATAGGAGAGATAACCAATGAGACCTAAAAGGGATGGTTCAATTTTACACCAACTCGGTTACTTCATATCCTTTGTCCCCACAAAAATAAAAAATAAAAAAAACAGGTCACTTCATATCCATATCATGTTGTGTTTTATATTTTCACAAAAAAACAAAAAACAAAAAACAGAAAACAAAAGAAGTGGGTTCATATCTAAATTATCCTGGATGTATTTTTAAGGAATTTCCGAAATTGGTCCATTTGTAGTGTGCCACGTGGCAGTTGGTGATTGGCCTACTTGAATAGAATAAAAGATTCATTTGAGAAGTGGATAATATCCCATAATTGCTGGGTTGCCTTCTCCTCCTTGGCGCGACCTGAAATGGAAAACCATTCCAGATTCATCAAATCTTGTGTAGCTCATAACTTCAGTTGTAGGAGTCAGATTGACGAACCGTTTCGGCCTTCATGATCTTGAGGATGAGCTCTATGACTTGAGTTTAATTATCCCCAAATTTATTTACATCTATTTACATGGTTTTCCCAAGTGATCTGTTGAGCTCTACGATATGCATGCAACTATATGAATATTTTGATATCTATAATGTAGCAAAATTTAAGAGCAAAATAGAAGCAGCTTTGTAATTTCGAAATATAATGCAATAATATTACACAACACACACCACCCTTTCAGCCTTGATGCTACACATGTTCATCTATGCTCATTTCAGTATTGGGATCGGACCTCAATCGTTTGGGAAGTCGATCCTCATCAGACGAGCCATGGCTTGGTCCTGCATCGCCGTCAGCAAGCGCTCTCTTCGACTTAATGTCTGCCTGAGCATTGTCCTCGCCAAGAACATTAGCATCCTCATTGGAGCCAGAAGCATACTGTGTCATCTTATCATTGATAACTTTGTCCCACACTAGACTGGCCCCTGTTTTCTTCACGCTAAATTGGGGTCCAAAATCTACGATAACCTCAACTTCATCACAGGCCTCCAAATTGAACACATTGTTTGATAGATTTCCCTGCCAAAGATGATCTTCATGAGATGCTACCACGTCTATTGCAACCGGCCTCGAGGTACGCATTGTGCCCTTGGTATAGTTTATAACTGAAATGCTAGTAAGATCTTGAGATACTATGTTGTCGAGACATGAAGAATAAACAATGCACACAATCAACTCCTTCAAATTACAACCAATATTTTGAGGCACTTCAAAAAAGACTGAGGCGCCCTCATCAACATAGGGGAACCACTCAGGAATATTATTTCCAGGGAGAAAAATGCCACCAAATCCACTCACAGTCCATCCCTATACAGGCAGAGTAAGATTTGTATAAGCAAACAATGCATGTTTTTGTGTGAGTGTTATGAGAGAGAGAGAGAGAGAGAGAACCTGCAGGATGTTCTCTTTAAGAGCATCAGTGATATTGCTGCAGCCTTCCATTCGAATGAATCTCAAGGACTTCAACAACTTAACCAAGCCTGGAATCTCAATGAGTTTGCTGCAGTTTGTCAGACTCAAAGTATCCATATTCGAGATTTCTGATAAATTTGGTATTCTTTCCAGTGAAGTGCAGTTTCTCGCTTCCAGGGATTTCAAATTGTTTGGTAACTCTGGGATTGCATTAAGGTTTGCACAATAATCCAATATTAGCCTTCGAAGCTTGGAAAGGCCATTGAGGCTCGATGGCAGGCTACGAAAACTATTGCTTTGTAGATTTAATTCTTGTAAGGAAAATAAACTCCCCAGATCCTTAGGAATTGCATCATCAGTTAAATTGCAGTCTTGAAGAGATAATCTTTGTAAAGAGGTTAAGCCTCGTAATGATGGGGGCAATAGATTAGTTGGTTTAGTAATTTTCCTAGGCAATACCCAAGACCAGAAAAGAGAGGGCAATGAGTTAGATGGTGATGCTTTCAAACCACACAGAGATAAATATTTCAGGTTCGTCAGTCGTAATATTGTAGAAGGTACTTTTCTTATGGCTGTGTTGTCTGCAAGAAGAGTTGTCAATGATACCATCTTCCCTAAATCATCATCCAAGTTTGCAAATTTTGAACAGCCAGAAAGATCAAGAGTTTCAATAGATTTCAACTCATAGAAACTCCTTGGAAGATCCTTGAGCATTTTGCAATCTTTCAAATTTACCACAAGAAGTCTTTCAAGATGTCCAATAGATGGGTGCACCTCGAACAAACTCTTACAGTCTTTGAGCATCAGTTTCTCAAGATTTGGAAGTTTCGAGAAGTCTGGCGAGTGTTGTAGGTAATGAGAGTGACTGAGATTAAGAATCTTCAACTTGTCTAGCAACTGTTAGACAGAAGGGAAGATAGAAATCAAAATTTAAATAGAACATGAAGAAAATGTACAAAACCAAAGGAAATCTTTACTGATACATACCCCAGGATCCTTCCAAACATGCGTGAGGTTGCTATAACGCAGGTCTATAGCAACTAGTTTCTGTTGGTGAAAGCTGTTTGGTATGAACTTTAGAGGGAGACCATGCCAACATAGCCATCTTAACTCTTTGGTAAGATATTCGTAGCTTCCAGTGAGTTGTACGTAATTGAGTTGGAGCAATCTCAGTCTCTGCATATTTGCAAATGCTTTTGTACTGAAACTTACATCATCAGATCTTAGCAAATTCAGTGTTACTCCTTCAATTTCTTCAGTCCCCTGTACATAAAAATAAAAAGTAAACAAAGGAGTTATTTCCATGTGAGATGATTTATATTCATGAATCCATGATCACAAGCTGAACAAGATTTATATCCTCTGAACAAGAAAGCATGTGAAAGATGATAAATTGTTAGATGTGGGAAGCATGTGCTTCTGTTGTATAACGTGCATTTAATTTAGCAAAGAATTTGATTGAGAAAGTTCTTACACAGTGTTTTGCTAATACATCTTTTATGTCTTCTTTATGCCACAATCTACTGCATTTTCCAGGTTCCTTGGGGGATTTTTCACGGACAACTTCTCTTCCCATGTCTCGAAGCAAATCATGCATCGTGAGCTTGTTTCTTTCACTAACAGTTACAAGGCATCGTTGAAGGAGAACACTGATTTCTATTTCTGCAAAAAAGCCACACCCATCCAATATTTGTTTGACATAGTTCTTGTCCTTTCCAATAAAGAAACAAGATATATCAAGGAAAATATCCCTCTGTTTATCGTCGCTTAACCCATCAAAGCTTATTCTGAGCTTTTTCTGAATTTGGTCATGAGGAATTCTTTTCAATTTCTCCTATGCGCTTGTCCACTCTGGTATGCTTCTTCCAAATAAAAAAGAGCCTAAAACTTCAAGTGCTAGTGGCAAACCTCCACAGTAAGAAACTACACTTGTTGAGAGATCAAGATATCCTTCATTAGGATAACTATTTCTAAAGGCATGCCAACTGAAGAGCTCGAGAGCTTCTTCTTCATTCATTTCTGGAGCCAGAAACACTGTATCCACTTCAAGTTGCTTTAGCAAATGTTGATCTCTTGTTGTTATAATAATCCGACTTCCTGAACCAAACCAGTCACGCTTTCCAGCTATTGCCCTTAGTTGCTCCATTTGATCTGCATCATCAATTATGACAAGTACCTTTCTACATCCAAGTCTTTCTTTTATGATAGTGATCCCTTTATCAACACATCCAACCTTTATCTTCTTGGCTGGTTTCAAAATATCAGATAGAAGTTGTTCTTGCAAACGAACCTGACCATTTGGTTGCTTTGACGTTTCCCTAACATCTGCCACGAAACTTTTACCTTCAAAGCTATGATAAAATTGGTTATAGATGGCTTTGGCAATCGTTGTTTTACCCAGTCCTCCCATCCCCAAAATTCCAACCATGCGAATGTCATTCGATCCAACACCTAGGTAAGAACTCATATCTTCCACTCGAGAATTTATTCCAACTGGGTAGACAGCAACGAACAAGTACACGTTGTTCAGCTGTCTAGTAATCTCGGCAATAATTTTCCTGATAAACCTTGCTTCATGCCTGTTAATGAAACTCAGAAGAACAAACTAAGACTCATTATGAAACTAGAAGATTAAACTTAATCAGAAACTTATTCCTTATGACAATAGATTCTGTCTACTACAAATATCACTCATGTCACAGTTGTTCATCTTATTAGGACATTGAACAATGTTGGCCAACAACCTAACAACTTCAGCTTTTTTTGGGGGGGGGGGGGGGGGGGTGGGGTGGTGTTTTAAAATGACATAAATATCAAAAAATAAAGGCTTCAAAACTAACTAAAACAAAAAAAAAAAAAAAAAAAAAAAAAAAAAAAAAAAAGAGAGCAGGAAATGGCCAAGGAAATTAGTGATTTTACCCATCTGCGGTGTTCCGAAGATCCCAGCCAGACAAATTGGCTGCTTCAGTGAGAGCAGACCTCCACTCAGTACCTTATCAACATCTAACAGGAACCGCTCTTCATGTTTCTCAAATGCCTGCCCAAAACAGCCATTCTGTTTTCTCACATCTGAAGGGTCAACATCATAGAATATTGGCAAAACCATTTGCCTCACTGTTCTTCTACACTCCATGATCTTGACCAGCTCCTCAAGACACCAACCGGAATCCGCGTACCGCCTCGAGAAGACGATCACAGAGATTCTAGACCCTTGGATTGCCTGCACCAGTTCTGCTGTTATATCTTCCCCTCTCCTCAGTTCATTGTCGTCAATGAAGGCATTGATTCCGGCCTCTTTTAATGCCATGTAGAGATGGCCTGTGAAGTTTTTGCGAGTGTCTTCACCTCTGAAGCTCAAAAACACGTCGTAAATCGATTGCTTTGAAGAGAAGGATTCTTGGGTTGTGCTGGTAGCCATTGGCACTAGGGACTGCAAGTGCTTCCAAGAATTGCAATATGAGTCCGGCTCCTCCCTTAAAAAGAACGCAAGTCAACTCAAGTTTACTTGTTTGCAGGGCCAGCAGGGCACAGAGTGGAGGAGGGTGCGTGGAATCACGGGCAAAAGACAACCTATATATTGACTTACTATTATAATGCCGGGCCACCAACACGTCTTATCTTCTTAATTTACCAAAGAAAAAACGTGACTTCTTTCTTTTTTCTCTTCCACACCTTCTATATCCCTCTTATTATTTTTCTTTTCCATACTTTCTGCAAATTACGATTTGATCCATAAATAAAAATAAATAAAAAAGTTGATATAGATCCAAATTCCTATTGAGAAGTTTGTTTTAATCCTCGGAGTTGGTGACTTTGATACGTCCTTTGACTTTTGAGTCATATAAAATTACATTCCTTTTTTAATATTTTATGATGTAATTTTTTTTATTCCAATATTGTCCCTTGTGCCTTGAATTGAATAATTGTAATTTATGTGATAATTACGGAAAAGAATTGTTTATGACCATAATTAATAAACAAATTAAGTGCTTATGACCATAATGATTTTGGTATATTAATTACTTGCCTTTTTTTTTCTTCTTTTATTTGCATCCATGATTTTGTATATTAATGACCCTTCTAGTTGCATTAGTTTATACTTTGTAGATATTAATTTTGTATAGCCGCACGGCTAAACGAATAAAATACGTAATTGGTTTATTCGACAAAATTTTGGCACATTACAACTTAAAAGTTCAGCCACTATATATTATTTGCATTCAATAATATGTGAAATTTTTTGTATAGTACGTGAATTTTGTGTTTATTATTGAAAATTTTATGAAAAATAAGTATATTAAATATGAAAAATACGTATATACATGTTCGATATGAGTACTGTAGGTTTGATTTTTAAAAAATTAGGAAAAACCAGAGTATAGCCGTGCGGTTACTGTTTCTTTTTTACAAAATTTAGGGGAGAAGTTAGTATAGCCGAGTGGCTATTTTAAAAATTAATAAAAAAAACAGAGTATAGCCGGGCGGCGATACTATTTAGTAAATAAAATTAAGAAAGAAGGACCCTCGTAGTTGCATTAGTTTATACTTTGCTTGTTTGGTACACCGTATTAGACTCTGGATATGAGTAAATAGTCAATGTCAGGTGTTTGGTGTTAACTTGTATTACTTAATTACCTGACTATTTTATACGGGTTGGGCTTTTAATACTCTCCTTACCTGACTAACTAATACAACCTACACACCCCGGTTTAGATAATACACGCTTAATTATACGGTTAACGAAAAAGAACACGCGTTCTACTCTTTTCATCTTCTTCTCCCTAGGGTTCTTCTCCACTAGGTATCCATCTCTCACTCTCTCTTTTTCATACTCTCTCCAATATGCTTCTTCTCTCTTCTTTATATATTTCATCTTTTATTAAAGTTTTGTGAAAATTAGGTTATGAATTATTTCTTTGTCCATGTTTTACTTTTTGTTTGTTATTTTCCACTTTTCCACTTTGTTGAGAACTAGAAACTAAGACAACAATTGAAAAGAATAATATATTATATATAGAGAGAGAATTTGTTTTGTTTTATTTTCTGTCTTCGATTTTTTTTTCTTTTCATCATTTTATGCATACTGTTTATGTTTTTCATTGGCTAACATGAATTAACCAACATATCCTATATCAAACTTCTCTTCCTCATATTATTTCGAATCATATAGTATATATCATGCAAGCTTTGTGTTGGTAAGATTAACTTTGCCATACTTTTTATTAAACCTATGAATGGTAGGAAAACAGATTGTTGGTATTAAACAGAGTAGTGCTAGTTTTCGTCCAAAAACAGACAGCTAGTGCTAGTGTTGGTAGTTTAGTGAAATACATATGTATATATATATATATATATATATATGTTTGGGCCAAAATTGACACACCCAGCCCAGCGAAAATTGGGCCCAGAATGAAGCTGCAAAAAATCAAAGAAAGATGGAAGCCCAAGAAACCAGAAGAGACCAGCCCAAGGCTCATCAGAGCAAACAAAGCTAATCTGGGCCTCACAGGCCCAAAGAAAGAAGGAGCCCAGAAGTAGGAACAATCCCACGTGACATCTCTGGAAGAAGAAAAGTCAGCAATGGCGATTGTCATAGGAGAAGTGATTGAAGGGTTCATGACATCAAGATCGATTCTGGAAAAAACTGAAGATCAAATCCCTCTTACACATACATATATATATATATATATATTCAGAGATTTTTTTTCTTCTGTCTTTTCAGAGAAGGTAATTCTCCCAAGGAGATAAGCAAGTTACAATTTCAGAGAGGGATAAGCAGGAAAACAGGAAGCTGTCCAGAAAAGGAGTCAAACTAACCATCACGGGCAAAATATCACAAGGGGCAATTGAAATTGGGAAAGAGATTAGGTTCCTTTTCAAGAAAATCAGAGAAGTGACTGCCTATCTGTTGAGAACCTATCTACCAAAATTGATGAAATCCCCTTTTCTTTTCCATTTTAAAAAAGGAAGATCTTTTTGAAAGGATTTGCCGCCCATTATTAAAAGAATTGCCCTACTCCAGAAGACATTTCTTATAAATACAAGAAGGAGTGAACAGGGCAAAAGACAATCAATCTTACAACAAAAATTTCATCACTCAACCAAACAAAGGTCCTACACAGGTAAACCGTCAAATAAGCAAGCTTAAAGTCAACCAACAAGCCCACTTGAATTTCAAGTGAAAAACCAGCTCCAGATCAGAATGCCCAGAATCCAGATTTAGGAAGCAAGTCATTCAAAACGAGATTTCTCTCGTTACAAATTTGGTTCAGCAAAAAACCAAAACAAGCAGAGTTTGAATCTCCTCCAAGTATGGAAAACCTCAGCAAAATTCACGGAATAGCCTCTAGCTCACCAACGCCCTCAAGAACAGCCACTTCTGCCCTTTCAGACTGAAGAAACCGCAGTTCTGCCCACTCAGAAACTTCACAAAAGCTTAAGGTACATTAAAGCTCTGCCAGAATCAACCTTTGGTATCGATTTGTAGTTGAAAATCGGGCAATCAGAGTTGTCAACGGTCCAGTCCAGCCCAGACATTCCCAGTCCAGCCCATCACAGAGCCGCCCATCCAGGCAGAAATGGAGATCCAGCTACCTTTTTATCTTTTTAGCATCGACATATATTTTTGTAGTTTTGTAAAAGGCACTTCCGCCCAAAAACAGCTTAAATTTCATCAACTATTCTGGCCAGAACAACCTCTTTATACTGAGATAAATTATTAAAGTCCTCACCAGTCTGAGGCAAGAAAAGAACTTACTTGGGAGATATTCCTCACCCAAATTCACAATCGTTTGTTTAAGAAATCAGTAAATTGGGGCGCAAGTTATCCATTCCAGACTAAGTCTGCTAGACTTTTCATTACTAGCAGTGGCACGCTCGCACACCAAAGAAAGCTGACTTGTTGACCAGTCTATGGTTCTCAAGGCAGTGGGGAACTTTGCCCTTCCATCATAGGAGTAAACACAAAACGGGTGAACAATATATAGAAGTCTGCACTTGTTAGGAAATTGATTCTAGTCAGGTTTATGCAAGCGGGATGTTATTTTGTAGTCTTCTGTCATGTGCAAACTCCTACTTATTATTGTACTATTCCAATTTTACATGTTGTGTAATTATAGTGCTAAACATCTAATTCATGCATGATTATTTATATTTCATGTCATTTGAATTTCAATTTCCACTTAAATTATCAAAGATTTTTTATTATTTTATTTATAAAAATAGTCTGATCCGATGTTATCCAGAACAGCACCAAACACAGTATAACTTAGTCAGACTATTTATCCAGAACAACACCAAACGCCTTATAATATTATGGATAAACAGTCAGTACTCTCCGGAATAAATTAATACTATATAACAGAAATTAGTCAGTACAGTCCGACGTACCAAACGAATAGATATTAATTTGGTATTGCCGCATGGCTATATACATATTAAATATGTAATTGTTTTATTCTATAAAATTTTCACAAATTACAACTTAAAAATTCAGCGACTATATAATATTTTAATTTATATTATTTGCATTCAATAATGTTTGAGAATTATGTGTATAATATGTGAATTTTGTGTGTATAATTTAAAATTGTGTAAAAAATAAGTGTATTAAATACGAAATATACGTACATACATGTTGATTCGAGTATAGTCGCACTGCTATAATATTTTTTTTAAAAGTTAGAAAAACAGAGTATAGCCAAACGGCGGTACTATTTAAATTTTTTTTAAAAAAAACTAAGTATATCCATGCGGCTATACGTTTTAATAAAAAAATATATATTAAGAAAGAAGTACCCTCCTAATTGCATTAGCTTATACTTATAGATATTAATTTGGTATAGCTGCACGGCTATATGTATAAAATACGTAATTGTTTTCTTGGACAAAATTTTGGCAAATTGCAACTTAAAAGTTCGGCGACTATATAATATTTTAATAATATTATTTGCATTCAATAATATCTGAGAATTATGTGTATAATCCGTTAATTTTGTGTTCTTATTTACATGTTCGATATGAGTATGGTACGTTTGCCTTCTAAAAAATTAGGAAAAAGCCGAGTATAGCCGTCCGGCTATACTATTTCTTTTTACAAAAAATGGGGTGGAAAATTCATGTAGCATCTTGGCTGTACGATTTCTTTTAAAAAATTAGAACGAACTGGGTATAGCCGCTCGGCTAGAACCTATAAATATCATAATGTGGTTTTCTCCTTTTTAATTACTTTAATTAGTAGTTATGTTTTAATTATTATTTACCTAGTGAATAATTAGTATTTAAATATTTTATTAAAGAAAAAATAAAATAAAAATTAATTACTATTTATTAAGTAATATAATTTGTAAAGTTAATTAAAATAATTAGTACTAATTATTATTTAAAAAAATAATTAAAACATGATTACTAAGAAAGTAATTAAATAAGGCTAAGATATAATTTAATTAATAAAAAGAAAGTTTAAAAAAATTTTAAAAAAACCGTACTCACCTAAAGATACTAAGTATATTATTTCTTTTTAAAAGAAACCTCTTCCGAAGAAATTTTGTCCTGAGAGGTCTAATCTGGCAAATATAAATTCATATTTTATTGTTGGTGCAATGTGGAAATATCTTTCGAGCATAGAATATTTCAACAGTCAACAGTATAGTTGCGCAGCGATACTTTTATAAATAGAAATTTCAACAGTATAGCCGCATGGATATACTAGGTAAATAGAATATTTCAACAGTATAGCCGCGCGGCTATACGGTCTAAATAGAATTTTCAGAAGTACAGCCGCTCAGCTAGACGCTATGAATAGAAATTTTCTACTGTATAGCCGCGGCTATACGCTGTAAATAGAATATTTCAACAGATTGTGCTTTGCAACTAAAGGCAACAGAACAAAGGAAACAGCCATACTGTAAGAATAGTGCTGACTACTACCATATGCTTTGCAACTACATAAGGCCTGAAATTGTCACGCTCAATCATGAGAAAGAAAGAGACGCAGGCAGATCTTCGAAACCTACATTTTATCTGACAAAATCAATGATTAAATACAAAGACATAACAACCCTTCACTCCATCATACCATCTTGATTACTAAATTATTCAATAATAAAATTACTAAGCTATTCCAAATATGATTCATTCCACCCACTCCCAAGCTCATTCACGTTTGTTTAAATTAACCCAAAGATTATTAAGCAAATCCTGAACTGAAACAACCTGTTCATATACGTGAAGAAGTGTTGGCGCTGCACTAACCCGAGAGAAGATGAAATCCATTCCCTAGGGGTTCGAGCATTCAACATAGTTTCAGCTGTTGTAAAGGTCTTCGAAACTACCACAACTGCAAATATCAAAAGAATATGAATGAACGATAAGAAACCCCACATAGAGCTTAGATTACAAAAGTCAATATTTAGTGATATAAATAAACTTCATGCCTTTCAAGGATAGTTTCTGGTTTTGACCCTGCAATATTTCTGGCAACATCAGTAGGATCAAACCGCACACAGGGGAAAACAAATTATTAGAATACCCTTAGACCAGAAACATCAAGACTAGAACCAAATATTTATACAGAGAATGCATCTAACATAGTCCCTGAATATGGGCTATGTTTCTTCAAGCACCACAACTACAACCAACACACAGAATACAGATTGCTTTAAAAAATGAACACAAAGAAAATTTGAAAGCATAAGCAAAAGCATTCCATGTCCTAAAATCCTATGTGCTATATCAAATACAAAATGATTCTCTACATGTCTTTAACAGATGAATGCATACCTCCTTCAAGAACTATGCCACTGAAATAAACTCATGAACACAGACAATCTCATTGTTCCAATCAGGTAGGTCCTAAAATGAAGGAGCTAAAAGAAAATATTAAAGTTCGAACTTATGCCCTCATCTTGGAAGGACTTGTTCCATCAGCACCACCAATAATTGAAATGCTATTGATCTTGACATCTGATGTAAATCTATCAGAAATAAATGAACAAAATATAACTTAATCAGAACGTAAAATAACGACATCAGAGATAACTTGGTCTTAGAATGGTAGGTTTTAATAAATTTCCTCAAGATGCAACACAAATGTTTCAGAAATAAGTACAGCTATGTTTAACATCAGATATAGCAGATGAGCACAAGAACAAAAGATAATTATAAATGACACACAAATGAAGTGTTATGTTTGTTTTAGGTGAACCTGGAGATGCTACTAAGGTTGAATCCCATACTCAAACTGATAGAGATCGGACTATGGAGATCTAACAAGACATGTTAGCATTGAAATTGAATGAAAATATGGAAAAATGGGTACAAGTACTCAACCAATGGATCTCCCTGTCCCCATCCATTTCATGTTCATGCATTCTTTAACTCATGTCCTGAAGATAACGCATAAAACAACAAAAGTGGATACTCACGGAATGTAAACAAGTAGCACAGGATCACCCTCATTGCTCTCCAAGTGTTCCTGTTGCAGAAAGTAGGATCAGATGAGGCTTCATATGCCTAGTAATTGAAACATAAATCAAAACCAAAATATATGCATAGTAAAACTTGAACTGAAGCTCAACCAATGATTCAGCAATTTCTTGGCCGAAGATGAGGATTTTTCCTCTTCTACACCAGCTGTATTATCTTACATCTCTCTGGGAGTTTTTGATTTACTCTTTTTGCCCATCTTATGGATCCAAAAGCTACATTTCACCCAGATTACATTACTGAGAATTGGCAAAAATGTATTTGCAGAGATGCCAGACCCGCCAGGAAAAAAGAAATCTGAAAAAAAAAAGCCATTCAAGTTTTCGAAAAATCGGCCGCCTAGGCGGGCTAGGCGGTTTTAAAATAAATAAATAGTATAGCCGCGCGGCTATACTTTTTATTTTCTCTGAAAGTGATGCCATTTTGGTGTTAGCATCAAATGGCATTCATTTTCTCTGGAAATGGCCACAGGACCTTAATTCTAGTTGAGTGGCAAAGAATGACATGCTTTATAATTCTTTCCTATTAGATATCTCCTCTCTTTCCTTTCGAAATTGAAATCAGAGCCATAGTTGGTCATTTGATTCTGATGATATTGATTAAATGCAGGCAACTCCCAATGTTCACCCTAATTTATGGAAACCAAGGGATGGCTTAGAGCTGATGAACAATGATCTTCCCAGCACCAACCCTGAAGACTGTGTCCTGCTTTGATTTGTCCAAGAATGATTCATATCTCATATCACCAACTGGAGGGATGATCTCCATTTTTTACATGACAACATTTAAGGTAAACCCAACACAAATTGTGTTCTTGAAATTTTCTTTTACCAACCAAAACTTCCCAAATCTTGTTTGTCAATATACTTAGGTTATGTTTGCAAATTTCTCATGATCTAACTCATTGTACTCATAAAAATCTGTTGCATAAAAACGTGGACAATGAAGAAAGTCATGCCATCGCCACCTGCGGCAACATGTCTTGCTTTTCACCCTTTAGATGACAGTATAGTTGCTATTTGCATGGACAATTCCACCATTGTAATATACAATCTCCACTCAGACGAGGTAGTTTGTTTGTTCTTGTAGAAAAAAACAAATCATGCTCGCTGTTGTGATGAAGCAAACCCAAAAAGTTTTTCATTGCCTTGATTTATATATTTTGCAAGTTACAAGGAAGCTTGAGGGTCACGCCAAAAGAGTGACTAGCCTTGCCTTCTCAAACACTCTGAATGTACTAGTTTCTTCTGGTCTAATGTGACTTCTGTTATTTAATGATCGACATCGTTTTGGCCCTGCAGATTTTTGTGTGGGGTGCAGCTGGGTGGGAAAAATAGAGAAGCAAATTGTTGCAGATTTTAGATGGGAAGGAGTTGAGATCATTGTCAGATACTTACATCCAAATTCACCAGAATGAGCTGCACCTCCTTGCCATAAACAAGACTCACCATGATTTTTTTTTATTTTTTTTTCATATAAAGATGTAGTCACCGCCCCTTCACAAGTATATGATACTAACCTATACAAATTGTGTATCAATTTTTACTTTGCCTCGCATTGCAAATTCTAAAAAAGAGCGTGCATATTTTACAATTGATTTCAAGAAAGATAAAGTTCTTTTTTAAAATTCTGCATGCTAAGCATTCTTCAAGTGGTCACACTATCTCTAGGAGGTTTTCCCTTAGGAATGACTGTCCAGTAGTTGCGACATCACAAATGTAAAACAGAGATGAGAGGCCTGCCACCCTTTTGGCTTTGACCTGCAATCATCTCCTGATTCACTTTTATATGTGTTGTTGCATAAGGAACCTGTTGTTTCAAACTTTTCACATGGGCACTCTACCATCCTCGCCAAAACAAAACTGAGCATGGCACATCATTGTGCTGTGGTGTTTTTGTATGCCTTGCAAATTCTCCTTTGCATAGAGAAAACGAACCATCAATGTAACCAACAGAGGAGATAAAAGATCAAGAGTCCTGAAAATTCCAAGGAACGGATCTTCTTGTAGAAAGGTCCTACTGCTGAAGCTGCAAAATGCATACATCATGTGATTAACTTGCATATCAGATGTAAATATCAAATAATTTGGCATGCAAAGCAAGGAAAAAGGTAAATGAAATAAGCAAAAGACAAGGTCCATGGATGCATCTAACAAAACATTAGCTTATTTGTTTTGGTTGTCAAATGGCTGCAGCATTCCTAAGTTATTTCATACATTTGGCTCTTTACAGATCAGGTCAATATTAAAATTCCATTACTGATTTCGGTTCATCATCATATCACATTAGTCCCACCAGTTTTAACTCTAAGTTTATTCTCAAGTCTCCATTAAGGTTGCACCAAATTTCAGTTTGTATATTTGTTTATCCAAAAGGATCCCAAAATCTACTTCAAATATTTGTTTTGTAGACAAGTTCATATAATTCCAAATGTATATACTTGTATAAAATACCTATGTAATTTTAATATGAACTGTATGCCATACGACTAATTGCATTGAAAAGCCAATCAAAGGATTTAGCAGAAATAACCAGATTCAAAATTGAATTTTGCTAAACCTCAAACAGTATTTATTTGGTCTATAGGATTAACATCTCGTAACCGGCATTAGTAAAGAAGGGCTATTTCTACAACTCATGAGATCAGAGGTCACATAAACTGACTACCAACACCTCAACTACAGAGGGACCTATTTTCAATTAAGAAAAACCAATATTGCCAAAAAGACAAAATTATGAATGAAGATGCTTAATATTTTATTAACACAGCAAAGAATCATAATTTCTTATAAACTCTAACTCTGAGCCTGCAAATAACTAAAATAAAACCATAAAACAACATAATGCATTAAGTCACCAAACATACATGCCAGCTAAAAAACAGGAGAAAAAAAAATGTAAATCTTATTGCTTGTAACTTAGGTTTCTCCTTTCTTTCCTTTCAAAATTGAAATCAGAGCGATAGTTGGTCATTTGATTCTGATGATATTGATTGAATGCAGACAACTCCCAAGGTTCACCCTAATTTATGGAAACCAAGGAGTGGCTTAAAGCTAATGAACAATGACCTTCCCAGCACCAACCCTGAAGAAGAGGTTGTGTCCTGCTTTGATTTGTCCAAGAATGATTCATCTCTCATATCACCAACAGGAGGGATGATCTCCATTTGTGAGTATTTGCAGAGATGCCAGATCCGCTAGGAAAAAAGAAATCTTAAAAAAAACACACCATTCAAGTTTTCGAAAAATCGGCCGCCTAGGTGGGCTAGGCGGGTTCTTCTTTTATTTTATTTTAAATAGCCGTGCGGCTTTACTCCTTAAAAAAAAAAAAAAAAATCATTTTTTCCCTTATTTTCCTTTATCGATAAGAATAGTTTAGAGCATTATCCATTACTATTAGGCCATTACCCAAGTCTCTCTACTGTCCCCTTTTGATTTTTTACTTATTACCCATATAAAGAATCTAGTATTTTCTCATTTAAATATATTATTTAAAGGGTATAACCGTTTGGCTATACTCATTAAATATAGTACTTAAATAGTATCACCGCGCCGCTATACTCATTAAATATATTATTTTAAGGGTATCGCCACACGGCTATACTAAATTTATTATTTAAAAAGTATAGCCGATCAGTTATACTCTATAAATATATTATTTGAAGCTTATAGCCCTTTAAATATATTATTTCAAGCAGATACTCCAGCACGCACTGATCCGAACCCAAGCAGATACTTCATATGATATGTCAAAAAGAGTTTCAATTTGTCACCAATCATCGGGCAGGACCCATCCAAGTCTACTTGTGCCTCGTTACAAAGATGTAATAAGGGATTGGAAGTCCACAACTGACTTTATAAGAATGTCAACTCCAGGAAAATGCCCTTCCAAATAGAATACAACTTGATCATGCATTGTTGACAGCGAAAACTTTCCTTCCAGTATGGCTGCGCGGCTATACTATGTCTTTTAAAAATTAAAAATATGGAGTTTAGCCGTGCGGCTATACTATTTCTTTTTCTTTTTTAAATAAGGAAAAACAGTTAAAAAATTCGAAAAAAGCAGGGTATAGCCGCACGGCTATACGATCTCTTTTATATAATAAAAAAAATAGTGGGAGATCTAGTATAGCCGGTACTATTTATTTTAAAAAGTCAGAAAAACAGAGTATAGCTGTTCGGCTATAGCAGCACAGCTATACGTATAAAAGATGTAATTGTTTTATTTGATAAAATTTTGGCAAATTACAACTTAAAAGTTTTGACACTACATAATATTTCAATAATATGTGGTAATTATGTGTATAATATGTGAATTTTGTGTGCATTATTTGAAATTTTGTAAAAAAATAAGTGTATTGATATGAAATATACTTACGTACATGTTCGATACGAGTATTGTACATTTTCTTTGTAAAAAATTAGGAAAAACTTAAGTATAGCATAACGGCTATACCATTTCTTTTAAAAAATTAGGAAAAAAAAAAGGTATAGCCGTGCCTCTATTATTTCATTTTAGACAAAATTGGGGGAAATTAGTATAGCTTTGCGGCTATACAATTTCTTTTAAAAAATTATAAAAAAACAGCGTATAGCCGATAAAATTAAGAAAGAAGGACCCTCATAGTGGCATTAGTTTATACTTTATAGATATTAATTTGGTATAGTCGTGCGGCTATACATATAAAATACATAATTGTTTTATTCGACAAAATTTTGGAAAATTACAACTTAAAAGTTCGGTCACTATATAATATTTTAATATATATTATTTGCATTCAATAATATGTGAGAATTATGTGTATAATACATGAATTTTGTGTGTATTATTTAAAATTTTGTAAAAAAAAAGTGTATTAAATATGAAATATACATACATGTTCGATACGAGTATTGTATGTTTGCTTTTAAAAAAATTAGAGTATAGCCGCACGGCTATACTATTTTTTAAAACAAAAATTTTTAAAAAAAAAGGGTATACGAAAAATTAAAAATACAGAGTATAGCCGGACGGCTATACTATTGCTTGTTAAAAAACTAGGAAAAACATAGTATAGCCGTGCGGCTGTACCATTTCTTTTGAAATTAGAGGTAACAGAGGATAGCCGCACGGCTATACTATTTGTTTTTACAAAAATAAGGGAAACCTAGTACAGCCGTTCGGCGGTACTATTTCTTTTAAAAAGTTAGAAAAAACATAGTATAGCCCCTCGGCTATACTAGTTTTGAGTCACCTCTCTTTTAGTGTGAAAAAAAAAAAAAAAAAAAAAAAAAAAAGATAATATTTTAGTAATTTTAAAAATTTTTTTTTTTTTTTAAAGTTCATCATATCAGAAAGTGGTTCTTGGGTGCTGGACTTTAAGAGTCAAATTTTGCTACCAATTTATTTTATTATTCTTTAATTTCTGTCATAAAGAAGATGATTTTAGATTTCTCCTTACAATCCTGCTAACAATAACATCAAATAAACCATCGGAACGGGGGACCAGGAGGACAACGCTCCTCTGCCTAGCCAGACATGCAATCTGATTTGCCCAGAACGGCGGAACCACCCTTAGGTTAGAGTGAGGAAAAAAAAAAAGTTTAATACTAAATTTTAGGAAGTTCATCCTCTTTAGTGGAAATTAGTTCACCCCGTCTTAGAAAAAATTAGTCTAGCTACTTCACTCCAACAGCTCTTTAAATGAAAAATAAATAGATATATGGCTTATTCCTATGAAAATTTCTGGCTCTGTTTGCCCATCAACAGGCCAAGCAGCACATCAGCTCTGATTTATGCTCCAAATATCTGCATCCATAGAGGGAAGAAGTCCTAATTAAGTTTATGCCTCTGGGGCTCAGTCAAATTGGTAAAAGTACTGGACAATAAAGCTCGTGTACATTACGAATGGGACATTATAGTTACTACAATGTAAAGAAAGCTCTGCTTAGCTTTCTCTTTCATTGATAACATAAAAAAAAAAAAAAAAAAAAAAAAAAAAAAAAAAAAAAAACATCAGCATAGAAAATTTGCTTGACAATAAATTGTATGTTAGTTCAGTTATGAATATATTCATACTATCCAATGTGGATATCAAGTTCACTTTTTCACACCTTTGATCTTCTTTTTTTCATTTTTCTTTTTGGGCTGATTGGCTACTGATTTCTTCACGCTTGCATGATTCTGTTTCCCAGCAGATTGATTTTGTGCTTTGATGCTTCCATATATACCCTTTCAGCTTTCTTCCATGTTCATTCTTCTCATTTCAATATTGAGGTCAGATGAGTGAAGGCTTGGTCCTGCCTCATCATCATAAAGGCCACTGAACTTGATTTCTGGTTCATGATCATCGTTGCCGTCTTCATCATCATCCTCATCATCATCATTGTCGTCGTCGTCGTTGTCCTCCTCCTCCTCCTCCTCCTCATCATCATTATC